CTTTATTGTTAGTGCCTTTTGTGTCTTAAGAAATCTTTGCCTACTCCCAAATCATAAAATATTCTCCTGTTTTCTTCCCTTTTTATTTTTTGAGACAGAGTCTTGTTCTGTCCCCCAGGCTGGAGTGCAGTGGCACAAACTTGGCTCAGTACAACCTCTGCCTCTCAGGTTCAAGCAATTCTCCTGCCTCAGCCTCCCAAGTAGCTGGGATTACAGGTGCCTGCCACCACACCTGGCTAATACTTGTATTTTTAGTAGAGACGGGGTTTTGTCATGTTGGCCAGGCTGGTCTTGAACTCCTGACCTTACGTGATCTGCCTGCCTTGGCCTCCCAAAGTGCTAAGATTATATGCATGCGCCACCACGCCCAGCTGTTTTCTTTTAAAAGCCTACTCAATGTATTCTATCTTCTGTTTTCTTTGAAAAGCCTACTCAATTTGATTATTTCACAGTAATATCTATCTATAATTGATTTGTGTGTGTATGATCTGAGACAGGAATCCAAGTACATTTTTTTCTGTATGAATATTCAATTTACCCTGCATAATTTGTTGAAAAAGCTATATTTCCTGTACCTTGCAGTGCAGTTTATTTTTGCATTAATCAAGTGATTGAATACGGGTGAATCTGTTTTTTGGCCCTGTATTTTGTTTTGTTGATGTGTATTTTTCTTCTTTGCCAATACCACACTCTCATAGCTGATATAACTTTATAATATAAGTGATATAACTTTGTAATAAATCTTGATATTTGGTCAGGCAAAACTTCCAAATTTGTTCTTGTTTAATTGCCATGGCTATTTGTGAACCTTTGTATTTCCATATAAATTTAAAATCTGTTTGTCAGTTCCTGCCAAAAAGTCTGCTAGAATTTTGGTTGGTATTTCATGGGCCACTTTAAGTGTGTTTTTGTGCAAGTTGATAGAAATGAAGTGTTTAACATTCAGGAGTCTTGCATAGCTCCCTCGTTTATCCTAACAGTTTGTCAAGTCTTTGGAATTTTTTATGTATATAATCATGTTGACATGATTAATGACAATCTCATGTCTTACTAATCTTCATAAATTTTTTAAAAAATTTTACTTTTTTCTGGCGTTATTGCTTTAGGCAGGACCCCATTACAATGTTGAATAGAAGTGATGGTGGTAGACATTCTTATTTTCTTCCTAATCTCAGAAGAAAATCATACACTTTCCATATTTCACCGGTAAGCATAATGCTCTGTTGGTGTGCTGAAAATACATTGCTAGGCAAAAACAAAGCAAACAAAAATATGACTCCTGTCCTTATAAGGATTGCTTTATAATTTTTACTTTGGAGGTATGGGGGAAGGAGATCCTTCTGTTATCTATCTCAATTATTATTTTTAACTTTTATTTTAGGTTCAAGGGTCCATGTGCAGGTTTGTTACATATACATATGTAACGTGTCACAGGGGCTTGCTGTACAGATTATGTCATTACCCAGGTGTTAAGCATAGTACATAATATGTAGGTTTTTTTCATTTTAAAAATTATTATACATACATCATAGTTGTATATGTTTATGGGGCACGTGATATTTTGATACAAACTTACGATCTATAACGATCAAAAATCTGGGTTATTGAGATATTTATTGCCTCAAACATTTATCATTTCCTTATATTGGGAACATTCCAAATCTTCTGTTTTGAAATATATAATAAATTATTGTTAACTGTATTTTTTGTGTTTAAACCTTTATTTATTTGTTTATAGTTTGTTACAGCAACTGCCTTATTTTTATTTTTGAGTTCCTCAACCTCCTCCTCTCCTTCTACCCTCAAGTAGGCCCCCAGTGTTTCTTGTTCCCTGCTTTGCGTTCACGTGTGGTCAATGTTTAGCTTCCACTTATAAGTGAGAAAATGTGGTATTTGATTTTCTGTTCTTGTGTTAGTTTGCCTCCATGTTGATCCATGTTGCTGCAAAGGACATGATCTCATTCTTTTTTATGGCTGCATAATATTCCATAGTTTATGTGTCCCAGATTTTCTTTATCCAGTCTGCCATTGATGGGCATTGAGGTTGATTCCATGTCTTTGCTATTGTGAATAGTGCTGCAGTGAACATACACATGCATGTATCTTTATGGTAGAATGATTTATATTTCTTTGAGTATACACCAAGTAATGGAATTGCTGGGTCAAATGGTAATTCTGCTTTGAGTTTTATTATCTTAAATAAGAAATTATTTCTGTTTAATAGATTAAAAACTATTTAGATTATCTTTTTCTTCTTGTGTCAGTAAGTTGTATTTTTAAAGGACTGTTGACTATACATTTTGTCAATGTTACTGGAAAAAACATGTTTATAATGTCATCTTAATACTTTCTAGTATCTGTGGAGTCTACAGTGTGGTACCTTTTTCTATTTGTGTTATTATTAATCTATTTTTTTTTTCTTATTTTCTTGATCAGCCTTGCTAGAGCTCTATTAAATTTATTAGTCTTCACTGATTTTGTTTTTATTGTTTATTTCTATTGCATTAGGTTTCTTCTCTTTTAAAATTTATTTTCCTAAATTTTCTTTGGTGTGATTTGCTGGGTTTTTTTTTAAGCTTCTCAAATTGACTTAAATGATAAATTTTAAGCGGTTTTTCTTTACTAATATATACATTCACTACTTTAAATTTTACTACAAGTGCCTTAACCACATTCAATGTATTGATATTATGTATCTTTACTAGCATTCCATTAAAAATGTTTTCTAATTTTTTGTTTGACTTAAGGATTATTTAGGTGTGGATTTCTTAGCTTTCAAGCAGTTGGAAATTCCATAGTTTTAAAATTTTCTCTTTTTCTCTATCATTCTGTTATTCATGTCCAGCGTAAATTTACTGTGATTAGGCTTTGAAGATTTCATTCCTTAAAATCTGTTGAGGCTTGCTTTATGGTCCTGTGTATTGTCAGTTTTGGTAAATGTTCCATGTGCCCTTGAAAAAAAATTGAATTCTGTTATTGTTGGTTGCATTTACATCAACTTGTCAATTATGTCAATTTTGTCATGTAGATTTTTTCTATCCGTATTGATTTTTTAATTCTGTCAGTTCTTGCTTCACACACACACACACACACACAGTTGGGTGTATACAGATTTAGAATTGTTTTATGTTCCTGGTGGTTTGATTGCTTTATTGATCCACCATCTTAGTCGTGTTTCTTGCCGTTTTGGGTTTGTGTGGTTTTTCTATCAACCTTGCTGTGTTCCTATATTTAAAGTTGTTTTGTGAGCAGAATACGCATTTTTTTCTAGTCTGATAATTTAGTTTTTAATTGGAGTTTTTCCCTCTTCTGTCATTTGCCTTATTTTTGTCATGAATTTTTATTCCACATATTTTTTAAACACCACAGATATTGTTAATTTTATTTTGTAGAGTTAATATTTATTTATGCATATTCACAAAATTACTTTTTTGGTGCTCTTTATTTCTTTTTGTACTCCTAGTTTTTGTCTGAGATCATTTTTCTTCTGTTAGGAAGATCTATGTCTAGGATTTAAGAAATGCTTTCCTGATGATAATGAATTCTCTGTTTTTGCTTGGCTTAAAAACATCTTTATTTCATCTTAATTTGAAGGGATTTTTTTTCTGGGTATAGAAATCTAACCAGATGATATTTAATAGTCTTGGATTTTCAAATAATTTTCATTATTTTTAATATTTACATTGATATTGGTATTCTAGTTGATTTCATGAACTTTCTTCTAACATCTCCTCCTCCTTCCTGGCATTTTTAAATGGAAATAGTCTAGAATTTGGAAAGGTAAATGCCTTAATTCAAAAGTCATTTCTACCATTTACTACCTGTGTGAACTTGGTGAAATCATTTAACTTTTCTGAGCCAATTTTTAATCTATAAAGTGGGAAAAATATTACATGGGCTCTGTTTCACTGGGAAGTATGAGGGGACTGTTGAGATATTGTAAGTGCTTTGTAAAACATAAAGTACCGATATGCTCAGCTAGCAATTTTTAGTGTTATTATTTACTGAAAGAGAAATATTCTCAGTGTATATATCCAGAAGTCTCTTACAAATGCAGATTTTCATGAGCACCCACAAAATAGTTCAATGATATTATTAATGTATTTATTTATGTCTATTCTTTGTTATATTAAGGACATTGTTAAAAGTTACATAAAAGATAACTTACACAAGGTCAGTCATGAGTTTATTTCTCATCTTTCAAGTGACTAACATGAAAAGAAAAACCTGGACAGTTACATAATTCATGATGTTCATAAGATAAAAATAATTCATTATTCAGGAGAAGTGCCATTATTTCTTAATACTAAGTTCAGACAGGAATTTCCCTTTCAGTTTTTTTATGATGTAGAGTTATTTAAAATATTTTCCTGCTGGTTTAGAGGTTATTGATTTGCATGGTTAATCCAAATCAGTGTTGGACTTATCTGGAATTCTAATATTCTGTTTCATACTCACCATGGGAGAATTATACATTTTAATGTGAGCTTCAAGTAGCTGCTCTTCCACTCCACTTGCAAATGGATTATATTCAGAGAATAATAAATAATGCCAATTTCCTTTTCAAAATGCTTGGATACACATTAGAGGGAAGGTTAGGCTATTAAAATTATATTTTGCATATACAAAATCATCAAAGTGCCTTAGGAAGATAATATTTCGCTGCATTTTATTTATTAGAGGCTAATTTAAAAATCCTTATATTGATCAAATACTTACAATCCTTACTATGTGCAAGCATATTAACTCTTGGTCTGTTTATTCTTTGATAAAAAAGCTGTCATTCAGACTTACTTTTGTGCTTTATTCTTTCACTTTTTTGGTATTTTTGATAAACATTTAAATGGAAAAAAAATTTGAAACTGCAGTTTTTAAGTCAATTACTGATTGTATGTTTGTGCCTCACAGCGAGTACCCCAACACATCTGCGGTTTTGTATGATGAAAACATTTAAAACAGGATATATGTTCTTTATTTAAATTCTTTGACTTTGTCTTCAGGTCACTGGCATGCATTTTATATGAGATGTGCTGCATGAATCATGCATTTGCTGGCTCCAATTTCTTATCCATTGTTTTAAAAATCGTTGAAGGTGACACACCTTCTCTCCCTGAGAGATATCCAAAAGAACTAAATGCCATCATGGAAAGGTATAGAAATAAATATGTTGTCACAGAAATAATTTAAAATTGTCATTATATTTTAGTTCATTTTAAAACTAATTTTCTTTTTAAACATTGCAGCATGTTCAACAAGAATCCTTCATTAAGACCATCTGCTATCGAAATTTTAAAAATCCCTTACATTGATGAGCAGCTACAGGTATTTAAAATGAAAGGGATTCGCAAAACAGGTATTAACATTTATATACACATTCCATGACTTGAAGATGTGCACTGGGGATAAGATGTAGTAAGAATCAACCAGAAGGGAGGAAAAAGATTAAAAAGAAGCTGAGAAAAATAGTAGTCAGCACAATCTCTCTGCAAAACAAGGTGTGTGTGAACTTCCATTCCCCAGTGCCACTGAAAATGAGAAATTAGGGCTCTGATTTTCTGCCAAAACTCAACATCCACCCTTAGAAGCTCTGTTGACAGATCTTACCTGAACTCTTTGTAACTATATCCCTGCAAAGACGAGACTATACTAACAGAGAATACTAAAATCTAGGATTATCATTGAGCATTTATAATTCCAATCCTTTATTATATATCTCTATAATACTTTTTAATGATTAGCTAAGTTTATTTTGTTTTCTTTTAAATTAGGAAATTTGATATAGAGGGCTCGGGTATTAAGAAAGCAGCAAATGGTACCCTGTTTAGAGGGCTTTTGTTATTTTGTTTTTTGTTTTTAACTTCTCAGGGTTTTACAATACAAATCCCTGAGGCAAGTTTCCTCTAATTTTATACGTACCTTTAAGAGGAACCACAAATGCTGGGTGCTGTGGCTCACGCCTGTCACGAGGGTCAACCAACATGGTGAAACCTTGTCTCTACTAAAAATACAAAAAATTAGCTGGGCATGGTGGCGCGTGCCTGTAGTGCCAGCTACTTGGGAGGCTGAGGCAGGAGAATTGCCTGAACCCAGGAGGCGGAGTGAGCCGAGATTGCGCCATTGCACTCCAGCCTGGGTAACAAGAACGAAACGCCGTCTCAAAAAAAAAAAAAAAGGGACCACAAAATGGTCATTCTCCTTAAACACTGTGCATACCTTTTCTTCAGTGGGACATGTTCCAAATCCAAAGGAAGCACAGGTGATAAATGATGTGTACTTATTAGTAAACTGCTGGGCACTGCTCTGACACCAGGGAATGCCCAAATGAAAGGAACAGATATGTTTCCTGTCCTTTTGAACAAAACAGGATACTGTAAAAATAGGGAGAAAGGAAGGGCTTTGGTGGTCAAAGGAGTAGGTGACATTTCTTTACCAGCGAGCCAAAGGGAAGCAATCAGCCATGTTAAGAGTCTCAGAAACAGTGTTCGAATCACAGGGAATAGCTGGCACAAAGGTCCTGATTATGTTGTGCCTTGGAGACAGATACAGATGGGAGGGTTCTTATGCAAGCATACGCGCTCAGGGAAGCCCATGAGGTCATGGGGAAGGCAGGACAGGAGAGGGAGGCGGATGAAGTTTCCTGGTACTTGCAGTTCTCCTTATGTGCAGGCAAAGTGGGCGCCAGTAGAGCCTGCAGGTGTCCTCTATAAAATTGCCTCATATTCTGGTTGTGGGGATCAAAAACATGATGAAGAGGCTGTGAGCATGCCAAAAAAAGATCAAAAGGTATTCACAGGGATCTGCTGGGACCAGGCTGAGGCAAGTGAGGCCCGTGACTCTGGGGCAAAATTTAAGGGGACACTAAAAAGTCATAATCAAGATAAGTATATATATATATATATATATATATATATATATATATATATATATATATATTTTTTTTTTTGGAGATGGAGTTTCTTCACTCTTGTTGCCCAGCCTGGAGTGCAATGGTGCGATCTCGGCTCTCCACAACCTCTACCTCCCGGGATCAAGTGATTCTCCTGCCTTAGCTTCCCGAGTAGTTGGGATTACAGGCATGCAGCATCATGCCTGGCTAATTTTGTATTTTTAGTAAAGACGGGGTTTCTCCATGTTGGTCAGGCTGGTCTCGAACTCCTGGTCTCAGGTGATCCACCTGCCTCAGCCTCCCAGAGTGCTTGGATTACAGGCATGAGCTACTGTGCCTGGCTGATAAGTAATACTTAATGCAATATTTTAAAAATCCAAATTAACACTTAAAACCCCTGGTAACAAAATATTAAAAGTTTAAAGACAAGATCCAGCAGGGCCAGGATTAGGGTGAGGTGAGTGTGGTGGAATTGTGTAAGTTTAGGGTTGGATCCTGTCTTTAAAGTTTTGCTATTATAATCTTTATTCTTGACAGTAATTTTGATTTTTTTTTTTAAATTGAGGCAGAGTTTCACTCTTGTTACCCAGGCTGGAGTGCAATAGGATCTCAGCTCACCGCAACCTCCATCTCCTGGGCTCAGGCAATTCTCCCACCTCAGCCTTCTGAGTAGCTGGGATTACAGGCACGCGCCACCATGCCCAGCTAATTTTTTGTATTTTTAGTAGAGATGGGGTTTCACCATGTTGACCACGATGGTCGATCTCTTGACCTCATGATCCACCCGCCTCTGCCTCCCAAAGTACTGGGATTACAGGCGTCAGCCACCGCGCCCAGCCAATAATTTTGATTTTTAAAAATAATGTTTACTAAAATTGTTTATCTTGGTTACTGAGTTTTTTAGTGCCCTCTTAGATTTTGCACCTGAGATATTTTACTGGCCTAAACCTTGCACTGGCCCTGGGAGTGTAGACACTGCCCTCCTCAGGCTGGGAGGTTGGAAAAAGCTTGTGTTTCCCTGTAGCTGAAGGTAGGCCTGCCCGTGACTGGCAAAAGGGAGTGAACAAGCAGTTCATGAAGCTGGAGAGACGGGCAGGATCCTGGCCCTGCAGGATCTTCTTGGAAAAAGCTACCATGCAGTATTTGTAACCCAGGGAAAAATAGCATGCTTTGTTCTCAGGCTTCCTGCCATGGTCAAAATTACCCCGAATCTGAAAAGATACTTGGCAATTTATTCCCTTTCATCCCTAAAGAGGAGCCTTTAAGGTATGTGAGGGTTGTTGATCTTTTTTTTCAGCACCTAATGTGTAGATATTCAGAAATGACTCTGGAGGACAAGAATTTGGATTGTCAGAAGGAGACTGCTCATATAATTAATGCCATGTAAGTAATTGCTTTGTTTTTAAAAAGCCCATCGAATGTAAATGTTAAATGCATTTGTCTTTAAAAATCTATTAGCGCTAAACTGACTGCATGGAGCATCCTAGAATTCACTTAAGTCTTGCCAAGAAATTAAGGAGCTTCAGGAACTTGTTGTTCCAAAGCCCTTTACCCCAGGTGGTAGCAAATTGAAATCATAAAAGTTTAAACTACTGCAGAGCTTACAGATCTGCAGGGTAGCCCTGCAGTTGCCTTGCAAGGATATAGAGACGTTAATATCTCAAATATTTAGTAACACTTATGCTAATGATCCTTCTATAATAACCATAAATGGCTTTCACATGTTGTTTGTTTAATGTGAACTGGCAGAGTGTCTACTGAAAAGAGAACATTGTGGAGTCCAGGGACAATTGAAAATAAACCGAAATTCACTTTCTTGAAAGATACATTCCCTCACAAAAGAACTAAACAATGTATTTCCCAAAGAACTATAACTACTTTCTAATCTCACTTCTCTCTCCTACCTCATTCAGAACTTTTGTTCTATAACTTGCAAAAACCCAGAGTACTAGGTTCTTATATTTTGGGTTTTTGCATACTCTTACAGTCTTGTACAACTGTGGCGTACAACAGGTGTGCAGTACAGGGGGGTGAAAACAGAAGGCTTCAGTAGGCTGACCTAGCACAAATATATTCCTCCAACACCCAGTCCAATGCTTCTCAGCTCCACCATGTTTGCTTCCCATCTTCACTTTCAAACTGAGGAAATTTGCATGACTTCCAGTTAAGATCCACTACATACCACATGGGGTCAATGTTTAGGCATGTTCCTAATAACCTTGTTTGTTTCATTTATTATCTGCTATTTCAAGAAAGGTTGAAATTTCCAATTTTATTAACTAGAGATGTGAGAGTAGTAGATATTTAAAAAACACTGGACTAGCTTGAGCTATCATTTTGTACTGCAGTTATAAAACTGACACTGTTTACAATTAACGGCATTCTAGAATCCAGTTGTATGTAGGGTATTTTACATTATGAAATACTGATTTCAGATAGTCACTGCTATTTTTGAGATCTCTGACTATGTTTCAAGGAGATCCACTGGTCAGACAAAATAAGAGATGTATATTCCTGAAAATTGCATGTCCTCTGGAGTCTGTTGTCTGGCTGGTATTAGAGAGGTATTAGAACTGTTCCCAGAGGTCATTGCAATTTTCTCATTGTGTTTGTCAAGGAAAGAGTTGAGTGCAAGAGGTGTTCTATAGTATTGGGCCCTAACCAAGTCAGGAAGAGAAGCAAATGCCATTGAGAATGTGCTTGGAGTTCTTTCAATGTGCCTTCCCTCTGAAGAGCTTTAGGAGTGCGCCCATCATCCCTGTCCACCTGGCTGCCTCTAGTCGGCCATCTTGCCCCCCTCCGAAGCTAAATTTTATTGACTATGTCTTCCTTTCCAGGCTTAATATAGTAGATATTTTTGCTGCAGGATGGTGTAGTGGTTAATTGCACAGATTAATAACACTCTTTCAATTCAAATTCTAGCTCCCAGGAAATACTCTGCATTACTTTGGACAAGTTTCTTAACCTCTCCATGACTATAAAAAAAATGTATCTACTTCATAGAATTGCTCTGTGTTTAAATAAGTTAATTCATGTAAAGTGCTTGTAAGTATGGGGTCATTACCTGCTAAAATGTTAGCTAATGTTATTATTTAGCCTCTCAGTTAAAGAAACATGCTTACATTAATCATACATTGAAAGAGGTTTATGTACTGGTTGTTGGAATCAAAAACACTGAAGAGGCTGTGAGGCTGTAGTCAAAAGGTGTTCACAGGGATCTGCTAGGACCAGGATGAGACAAGTGAGGCACCTGACCCTGTGGCAAAATTTCAAGGGGACACCAGACACTTGTAATCAAGCTCAAATTTTAATGCAGTATTTTAAAACTCCAAATTAATGCTTAAAATCCCTGGTAATAAAATATTCAAAGTTTAAAGACAGGATCCAGCAGGGTGAGGCAAGTGAGGTAGAATTATGTAAGTTCAGGGTTGGATCCTGTCTTTAAAGTTTTGTTATTGTATTCTTTATAGCTTTTTGACATTAATTTTGATTTTTAAAAATAATGCTCATGAAAATTATCTTGGTTACTGAATTTTTCAGTGCCCCCTTAGATTTTGCACCTGAGGTATTTCACTCGCCTAAACCTTGTGCTGACCCTGGGGGGGTGTAGACATTGTCCATTACAGGCTGGGAGGTGGGAAAAAGCTTGTGTATTCTTGGGATCTAGGGTTTGAACCTAGAGGGTGTTATTAATCTGTGCAATTAACTACTGCACCATGCTGCAACAAAAATACCTACTGTATTAAGCTCTGAAATCCCAGCTGGAGGAGACACCCCTTGACCACCAGGGACACTTGAGTTGGTAGGGAGAACTACTTAGAGAAGTGGTAGGGGCACCATGCCAGCCAATGTGGAGCCCAGAGGATTTGGCATGAGAGTGTCTGCAGCAGAGCACACCCAGGGAGACCATCCCCCTAGGCTTGACCTGCTGCCATGAGAGACTTTAGACCCAGGGGAGCTGTCAGACCTGAACTCTGCAGGGCAGTCTTTTCCATCAGAGGGCACTGGTCTGACTTGAGCTTCCCTGAATCTTCTGGCCTCTCCTGAGGCCCAGCCTGGCCACGCCTGCTTGCAGTGCGGCTGCGGGTGCCCTGGGGTTCTACATCATAGCTCCTGTACAGATGAATCACGTCTGGCTGGAGGAGAGATCCAGTGGGGAGGCCTGCTTTCTCCTTTAGCTGCAGCTTCCCCAGGCCCACAGCCACCCACCTCCCCATGTTGCTTTTCTGGCGTATACATACATGGGCAGATTTTGACTTTCCTGCCCTGCCAGCATGCATATGTATGCACACTACCCTGCTACTGCTGCTTGTAGGAGTGTATCCCTCCTTATCTCCCCTCCCATACCACCATTGCAGTGGGAGCCTTGGTGGGCACAGAAATAGACAGCCCTGGCCCTGCCAGTGCCCTGCCCCGGCATCCACACTGCTGTTGGAGTGAAACTAGATACAGAGAACAGTGGACCTGAGCAGCCACCCCTACCTGTGTCACCATGCACAGAGGTTGCACACAGACCTATGCCCACCAGCACTGAACCCCTGTGTTAACAGCGCCACCAGCAGGACCACATGCACAGTTGCCAGTGGAGGGCCCCAACTCCCTGAGCCATTCTGCCTCTGCTGCTGCTGTGAATGCCCACAGGGAGACAGGCACCATGACACCTGCTATCACCCATCTACAGCTGACAAATGTGCACCCTTCCACACTGCCACTGCCACTGCCGCTGCTGCTGCTGGCATGTGCAAACAAAGATGGATCCTGCTGCTACCATCCTACAAAATGCTTTGGCTGGCATCACCCAACAGAGTGTAGTGACCAGCTGTCCAGGAGCACATTCCCCCCTACCTCCAACCCAGTGCAATTAGTTGACAACCTTGAGGAGGAGCCAGAGAGCAAAGCTGGGACCCATTACAAGTTCCCCCAGAGTTAGAGCACAGTCCAGCAGTTGGGATCTGAGTGCTGGCTGCCTAAAATTTTCCAGAAGCAAAGCCAGTCTACTGAATCCACCTTATACCACAATCAAACCCTCAAAGTTATCAAATAGAATAAAATTAAAGAAAATCTGAAGGATAGCAACTTCAAAGATTGAAGGAACTTCCGCCCACAAAGATGAGAAAGAACCAATGCAAGAACTTTGAGAACTCAAAAAGCCAGACTACCTTCTTTCTTCCAAATGACCACAGTACCTCTCTAGCAAGGGTACTGAACCTGACTGAGAAGACTGAAATGACAGATATCGAATTCTGAATATTAATAGGAATGAAGATCATTGAGATGCAGGAGCACATTGAAACACAATCCAAGGAAGCTAAGAAACATAATAAAATGATATAGGAGCTGACAGACAAAATAGCCAGTATAGAAAAGAATGTAACTGACCTGGTTGAGCTAAAAAACACACTACAAGAATTTCAGGCCAGACAAGGTGGCTCATTGTAATCCCAGCACTTTGGGAGGCTGAGGTGGGTGGATCATTTGAGGTCAGGACTTTAAGACCAGCCTGACCAACATGGTGAAAACCCATCTCTACTAAAAATACAAAACTTAGCCAGGTGTAGTGATATGTGCCTGGAATCCCAGTTACCAGGGAGGCTGAGACAGGGGAATCACTTGAACCTGGGAGGTGGAGGTTGCAGTGAGCTGAGATAGTGCCATTGTACTCCTGCCAGGATGATGGAGTGAGACTCCATCTCAAAATTAAGAAAAAATGCAACCTCAAGTATTAGTATCAGAATGAACCTAGCTGAGGAAAGAATCTCAGAGCTTGAAGAAGAATTTTCTGAAATTATACAGGAAGAATAGAGAAAAATAAATGAACAAAAGCTGTGAGAAATATGGGATTATATAAAGAGATAAATCAGGTCTCTGAAAGAGGTATGGAAAGTGGAAACAACTTGAAAAACATAGAAATATGTTACATAGAAACACAGAAATATCATCCATGAGAACTTCCCCAACCTAGCTAAAGAGGCCAACACTCAAATCAGAAAATGCAGAGAACCTCAGTAAGATACTTCACAAGATCATCCCCGGGACACATAAGCATCAGGTTTTCCTAGGTCGAAATCAAAGAAAAAATGTTAAAGGCAGCTGGAGAGAAAGGTTGGGTCACATACAAAGGGAAGCCGATCAAACTAACAGTGGATCTCTCAGCTGAAATCCAGAAGAGACTGGGGGCCAGTATTCAGTATTCTTAAAGACAAGAAATTCCAACCAAGAATTTCATATCTGGCCAAACTAAGCTTTGTAAGTGAAGGAGAAATAAGATCCTCTTCAGACAAGCAAATACTGAGGGAATTTGTTACCACCAGACCTGCCTTATAAGTCTTCCTGAAGGAAGCACTAAATATGGAAAGAAAAGAACAACCATACAAACAAGTCTGCAAAATGATGACAGGATTAAATCCACACATATCAATACTAACCTTGAATGTAAACAGACCAAATGCCACAATTAAAAGGCACAGTGTCAATTTGGATAAAGAAGCAAGGCCCAACTGTATGCTGTCTTTAAGAGACCCATCTCACATGCAAGGACATGCAAAGGCTCAAAGTAAAGGGATGAAAAAAAATCTACCAAGCAAATGGAAAATAGGAAAAAGCAGAGGTTGCTATTCTAATTTCAGACCAAACAGACTTTATACCAATAATAATCAAAAAATATAAAGAAAGGCATTACATAATGATAAAGGGTTCAATTTAACAAGAAGATTTAACTATCCTAAATATGCACGCACCCAATCAATACAGGAACACCCAGATTCACAGGGCAAGTTTTCAGAAACCTTCACACCTATCAGAATGGTGGATCATGAGGTCAAGAGATCAAGACTATCCTGGCCAACATGGTGAAACCCCATCTCTACTAAAAATACAAAAATTAGCAGGGTGTGGTGGCACGCACCTGTAGTCCCAGCCACCCAGGAGGCTGAGGCAGGAGAATCACTTGAAGCCAGGAGGTGGAGGTTGCAGTGAGCTGAGATCACACCACTGCACTCCATCCTGGTGAAAGCCTGAGACTCTGTCTCGAAAAAAAAAAAAAAAAAAAAAAGTAAAAAAATAGATGCTGGTGAGATTGCAGAGGAAAAGCAACATTCATACACCATTGTTGGTAGTATAAATAGTATAAATTAGTTCAAGCATTATGGAAAACAGTGTGGCAATTCCTTAAAGACCTAGAAACAAGGCCGGGCTCGGTGGCTCAAGCCTGTAGTCCCAGCACTTTGGGAGGCCGAGGTGGGTGGATCATGAGATCAAGAGACCGAGACCATTCTGGTCAACATGGTGAAACCCCGTCTCTACTAAAAATACAAAAACTTAGCTGGGCATGGTGGTGCGTGCCTGTAATCCCAGCTACTCAGGAGGCTGAGGCAGGAGAATTGCCTGAACCCAGGAGGCAGAGGTTGCGGTGAGCCGAGATCACGCCATTGCACTCTAGCCTGGGTAACGAGCGAAACTCCGTCTCAAAAAAAAAAAAAAAAAAAAAAGACCTAGAAACAAATATCATTTGACCCAACAATCCCATTACTAGATATATACCTAAAGGTGTATAAATCATTCTGTCATAAAGACGCATCTATGCCTATGTTCATTGCAGCATTGTGCACAATAAGAAAGACATATCATCAACCTAAATGCCCATCAGTGGTAGACTAGATGAAGAAAATGTGGTACATGTACACTATGGTACATGTGAGTTTTATCCACATGGTGGAATTACTGTGCCATTCTATTTACTCTGTAATGGCCAAGATGCTAATCTGTTTTACATTATGAAAACTAGTCATTGGCAATGAAATGAGCAGGAATTTGGAAAGTGTATAATTTGCTTTTAAACAAAAATCCAATTTGAAAAATTCTGCTTATTAACTATAGTCCTGGTTGGCTCATTACGTACCCAAAGCGTATTAGTTTTTGCCTGGCCTGTCTCAAGATGCTTTTGCTCTCAGTAATGTAGTGATACTTTTATAAAATATTTGTTTGATTTCTCTGAACATATTTGGAATGGGTTGTATAAGGGGAATCTTTGTTATTTATAGGCAAAAAAGGATCCACCTGCAGACTCTGAGGGCGCTGTCAGAAGTACAGAAAATGACACCAAGAGAAAGGATGCGGCTGAGGAAGCTCCAGGTGGCTGATGAGGAAGCCAGGAAGCTGAAGTAAGCGCCTTTCCTTTAGGCACTCACACCCTGGACTACTTCTCAGGGCTCTCAGGGAATTTACAAAGAAAAGCAAAAACCAAAACAAGAAAACAATGCATACGATTATGTATTTATGTGTTTATTCATTTGTTCATTCACTCCAAGATGAATATCGAGTCACAGATTGAATATCAGGTGCTATTAATATCAGGCTTTCAGTCTTGTGTGAAGGGAAAGATGAACTATTTGGGAGGTTATTAATGATGAAAATAGAATCAGTTTCCAAATGAAACTTCATTGTTATTGACAGCCTCTGTACATACCCCAGCAGGAGGATGAAAAGGAGGCATCACTGTTTTACCCGGGTTCCCTGGGTTCTTGCTGTGTACCTTCTATCAGGAGACCTCACTTATTTATAGGAAGGAGACTTCGTTGGCAGGAAATTGTTAGCTTTTGGAAAAAGTAGACTGGAAACAGAGCTCTTTTCTGTTAAGTGGAACATTTAGAAAAGTCTATGCTCAGGGCAGTGCTGCTGGTGGGAAATATCACTAGTAATTAGAGTATTTACATGAAAAAGTGAAATTTCAAGTGTTTTCCAGGATGTACAGAAAAGGGAACCTTGTACAGGAATGGTAAGAATGTAAATCAGTACAGCCATTATGGAAAAATAGCATGATGATTCCTCTAAAAATTAAAACTAGAACTACCATAGGATCCAGCAATCCTATACTGGATTTATATCCAAAGAAAATGAAGTCAGTATGTTGAACAGATACTTACACTCCAGTGTTCATTGTAGAATTATTCACAGTAGCCGAGACATGGAATCAACCTACATATCTATCAACAGATAGGGGGATAAATAAAACGTGGTATAAATACACACAACGGAGTACTATTTAGCCTTAAAAAGAAGGGAATCCTGTCATTTGCAACAACATGGCTGAACCTGGAGGACATTGTGTTAAGAGACATAAGCCAGGCATAGAAAGACATATACTGCATGATATCACTTACATATGGAATCTTAAAAAGTTGAATTCACAAAAGAAGAGAGTAGAATGGTGGTTACCAGGGACAAGGGGCCATGAATGGGGAAATATTGGTCAAAGGGTACAAAGTTTCAGTCAGACAGGAGAAATAAGTTCTGGAGATCTAATGTACAGCATGGTGACTGTAATTAATAATCATGTTTTGTATTTTTGAAAATTGCTAACAGCGTAGAGCTTGATTTAATCATCCCACAATGTATACATGTATGAAAACATCACATTGTACACATAAATCTAAATGGTTTTGCCAGTTAAATTTTAATAAAGCTGAAAAAATACATGTATCAAAATAGAATTTCAAAGAGCCCTAGACCCTCAATTTCTGAAAGACTGATTTATATGTTGATATGTTATCAGACTTCCTAATTTTTCTTCTTTTTTCTTCCTCTGCCAATGTTTTGGCAGTTTAGGAGCCCCAAGTCAAGAACTAGAGAGACAGAAAAAACCTGAAAACAAATCTATTCATTTTGTTACCTTGTTAATTTATCTGAAAAATGATTTAGAGGTGTCTTTGTACTTAGAATGAATATCATGATAAGCCATGTATGAATCTATGAGTCTATTTTCCCTTAACATGTGCTTTCTTTAATAATTGGGTAGAAAAAGATTTCTGTGAAAGTACTTTGTGGGCAGTGTACTGTCCATTTAACAACCAGCTCTGGGTCTGAAGGAGGCTGCTAATTTGCTGATTTCTGTGATATAAATACTTCCACCATGGCCAATATCAAGCTACCAATATGATATCATTTAGTGTTCAGTTGGGAAGGTATGTACACAATCTGCTCTTGGGAGCCAATACAAGTTGGCTTCTGCAAACCACTATGATGTTGAGTGTGGGTTTTACTGGGAAAATATGTTCACATAAATTGCTTGAGCCATTGCATCAGCTCCCTACCCCGAATCTGTTTCTAATACCTTAGAAGTAGTGATATTTCCAAGATAACATGATTTGTGTCACTGACTGAGGGTAAAAGGAAAATTAAATTTCTGATAAGAACAGATTAAAAAGACAAGTTTAATAATTTATGTGCAGATTACAAAATATCATTTAGATTAAAAGTTTTATATTCAAATAAGTCACATGCCTTTCCTATGACATACTAATAGTTTTTTGTTTGAAGGTAATGGTTTTAAATAAAGTTGGGCCTTGATTTGGTGAATAGATTGTATTGGAATTGTTTCTAATTGTTGATTCTAGAATCAAGGGGGATCATGTGTTTTAGCTAGAAAATGACTCTATGGTCAGAAGAATTATAACGTACTCATTTTAGAGATAAGAGAGTTTGACTAGAAGGGTGTTCAGTGACTTTTTGAAAAGCCTGAGTATAAATTAGCCCACAAGTTGATCATAAGAAGTCAAATCTTTCTTCCAGTTTAGTAGCAAGTCTCTTAAACTCAACTCTCCTGTAATAGAGAAAACAAAGCAAATGTGTCTAGAAAAATTCCCCTGCACAGTGACTCCCATATATTTCCTCACAAATTCTTTTATATGTAGCTCTGTTTTTACTTTTTATGGGTTTGTTCATCCTGAAAGCAGTTTTTGTGTCATTAATGTGTGTTAGGCACATGCTGAGCACTGGGAACACACAGTCCTGTCATCACACTTGGAGAACGCACAGAGATGAGCACTGTTTTCTCCTGCCGTTGCATTTTGGGATTTGTAAGGGGGAATAAGGAGCCAAAGCATACTGTGTGCTTTAAAGAGAATCAGCTGGGTGCTTCACTGCATTTACCTTGATGAGGGAGAGACCTGATGGCCTGGTTTACCAATCCCCCAGTCTGCCTGTTGAAATGAGGATCACACTCATCTGTATAATATAGATATGGCTTTAGCAATTCAGTTATTTTTCTACATTCACTTTAAATTTACAGAAAGATTGTGGAAGAAAAATATGAAGAAAACAACAAACGAATGCAAGAATTGAGATCTCGGAACTTTCAGCAGCTGAGTGTTGATGTGCTCCGTGTAAGTATCCTCTTACTTTAAATTTTACATAAAAAGTTTTCTTACTTCAGATTCATGGCGATGATTGGGTAGGAAAAGGGACAATGGAGAAAATAAGAACAGCGGCCCAATTAACTGTGCCCAATTCCAGGAAGGATTCTAGAATATAGGTCAAGAGTTGGTGACAACGATTCAAAGCGGCTGTAGCCAGAGGTGGATCAATTGATCCATTTAATAAAAATCAAGTGCCTACTCTGTATAAGACAACTGAATTGGCACTAAATGCATAATCGATGGGTTAAAATGATTAACTGACAGAACAAATGTGTGTGTATCTAAGTTTTAATTCCACCCATGCTATTGTTGCTTTGCCTCTTTAGTACATTATTCTCTTTGTCTTGTTTTCTTCTTCTTTATATTTTGTCTCCTACCCATTTCATTGTACATCATGGTAATAACTTCATTCAAACTTTAACTGCCGTAGATGTTGAATAATGAATATAGTTGTAGATTCATGTGAAATGATCCCAAATTCATGTCCTCGGCATTCCAAATCTGTAAACAGCAAACACCATTTTCTTTGATGGTTGACAGTATCTCCACAGGCCATGGGTAGGCTCTGATTAATCAGGTGGTCTTTACAGCGTCAAATTTGGGCAATAGACATCAATACCAACACCATGACTCTTCAGGTACAAGCAACTTGGGATGAAGTCATTTTTGTGGAGAACTTCTACTGTCTCAATTCTGGTTATTAATTGGAGATCCCTGCATGTGAGAGATTCTCTTCTTTATCAGGAATTGGCAATCCCCCGAGGCTGTGGGACAATTCCCCAAGCCCCAGTAATGCTAATTCTTTTGTAGCTTGGTTATCAGAGGGCTCCAAACCCTGGGGCATGCAGGAGAGCTCACCCTCAGCCAGACAGGGCCCCACTTTAAGGGGGAGAGCTGCCAGTGATGCATCTTTCTCAATTATTTGGGGGTTCTGGGTGCTTTGGAGTTCTAAAAATCCCAAGTTGGGAGCAATAAGAGGCCTAGTTTCCTCTGACCTCAGGAATTTTCCTCTGTTTGATGGGCCAGTTAGCAGACAAAGTGGGATGCTGATGATAAGTACCCAATTCCATCTCCCTTTTCCCACCCATCTGCCATCCCATTTAAGTGAAGCCTCTCTGTGGGATCTGTCGCAGGCTCCAGAGACTTGGGAAATGGTTTCTTTCCTGCTCAGGGAACTTGGTGAGTGAAGGACTTACTGGCTAAAGGGCCATGGGGTCAACAATAGGGCTGGATCCCTAGTTGGAGAAAGGTCTTGTGGCAACCACTGTGGAAGTACTCAAGCCCCCTCTGAAAACTGGGTGCCTGTCTTCAGCTTCCCACCTACTTCTAGGCCCTGCAAATAATAGCCCATGAAGATGCTTCTTTTTCTCTGGTTCAGTCGGCTTTGTCCCCGACAGTGCTGAGAACTGCACATTCCCACAGATCCTGACAAGGAGGCTGACAAAATTATAAGGATTCTGAGTTTGTTAATGTGTAATCTACTTACTTATTCAGCTATAGAAATGAGGACGTATTTTTCTAGAATGCTCAGGGATCCCTGATTCTAAGGGATTTTCCCCCTAAGATTTAAAATTGAGAAGTAGAGGCATGGTATTATTTTGTTTTATGAAATCTAAATGACTTCATTCTTGAGGCTACTATATGGCAAAAAAGAAATTTAGTTTCAAGTATGAGCTTAAATAATAGTGTCTGCTAATTTACTTAACTTTTTTGACCCTTCAAGATCACCCTGTTTGTGTTCTTTTTTATTGGATGGTATTATTATTGGTGTTATTACTATGTTGTATAAGGTGTTGCCTTCCTCTTATAAATCAAGGTCCTTCTGAGGTCCTGAAGTAACTGAGGATAAGCCTGAGACCATATGGCAGACAGAATCCCAAGAAATGTTGTTTTCCATATATTATTTCACAGAACATGGGAGCTAGACACAGAGTTCTGATCTTGGCCCAACTCAGTGAAGAGAGGATTTCACAAGGATCCTATGAATTCCCAACTCATGACTTTCTCAGTGACTTCCCAGTTTCATCCCCTTTCCATCAGCAAGGAGCAAAGGGAGCAGGAGGAGAAGCGACTGATGCCGATGCTGTTCTGGCCAAAGACTGTGCTTCATGATGAGCTTTAGTGCCACCACTGTCTTTGGCCCTGAGCTTTCCAGAAGCACGTTTCCCACATTTATATATTAATGGGGGCAGAAATGCTCCAGGCAGATAGATGGCTGTTGAATCTCTTCTGCTTTTACACTGTCCTCTTGCCAGCTGGTTTGGGCCGACAGCCTGGGTGGCTCAGCACCCCCAGGCATCCTGCCCTCTTTTGTGCAGTCACATCAGCATATTGTCAGCATCCCACCTCTTTCAACTGTGTTCAGGAAAACCTTCTCAGCCCACTTGGGTCCACAATCAATGGACCCTCCTCCAAATTCTTATGGCTTATTGTATTCTCAGACTTGAAGTGCACCTGGATCACCTATGAATCTTGTTAAGATGCAGATTCCGATTTGATTAGTCCAGGGTGCAGCCTGAGATGTTGCATTTCTTATAAGCCTTCTGCTAATTTCAGTGCTGATGTTCTGACTCCTATGTACACTCTGATTAATAATGAATAGAAAACGGGCCTCCCGAAATCAGCACTTCACCTTCAGATGCAGGAAGACTTGGAAAACCACCGCTGAACAGACCTTGTCATAATCTCTTGAGGAAAAAACACATTTTCTAGGAATGGTAGAAAAGGAGGAGCAATCTGAGGGAAGATTTCTTGTTCACCCCAGGTGGAGGATGAAGAGAGGTGGCAAGGCAGGGAAGAGGCAAGTTTAATCATACTCACAAGCTCTAACGTGAGTCAGGTTAAATGATATCCAGAGAACAAGGGAGAAAGAAAATGGGAAGCTGAACACTTTGCAGAGGAGCCTGAAAGGTTTTAAACATAGCAGGAAAAAGCTTCATTGAGCTGAAGAAGATGAAATAAATATAGGAAAGAAATTAGATTAATCAGATGCACGAGGCTAAAGAAAAATTTGATAAAGAAGGAGAAGAGAAGGAGGAAAATGCTCCCATCTTTGAATGTTTTCCTTCCCGTTGCTCATATACATGTTTATTTCTTACTAATCTCATTGCGGCTCTGTTCTGTATTCCTTCTTTTTTCTCTCTTGCCTGGCGGAGCAAGCTACTTTATATTTCAAAAGCACTTACAGAAGAGAAGCAGAGTTATGGGGGAGAGTGGGCTCTATGTCACCTCTTAAACATGGTATAAAAATTATTTGAGGCAGGTGGGAGAGTAGCTTCCTTTGTTTTTCAGACCCTAGCTGACATGGCCTTTTATTTTGGCAAGCATTTTCTGCTTGACTGAATTTGGGCTTTGAAATCTTGAAGCACCGTCGAATGTGGAATCCTGTTAGGCACCATTTCTCTAAAGAATGACAGCTTAAAACAGATATCATAATACGTAAGACAGGCCGGGTTTGTCTTTGATCTTGTAGCATCTACAGTTGTGCTGGCGCTAAAGTTAGGTCCCTGTGAAAAGTGCATAGTAGATCAGGTCTCTATACATGGAGTGGTAATAGGGACCAAAGATCAGACCATGTCCTTCTCTTTCTAAGAGAAGCAGTTGTAACAATTCTATCTTTCTCTTCAAAGAGAACCTCAGCAAATCAAAGTTAATTGAGATTCCAAATGCATACCTATTTTCAAATAATTGCCGAAGTACACTTAAAGAACGTATTTCATGTACTCTCTGTTCTTTATTAATAAAGTTCTCTGTGTGCTCTCAGTGATCCTTTGAAATTTGGAACCAATTTCACCTCCTGAAACAATTATACAGTACAGAAAACTGACTTCTGAAAAATACTTTATGATGATATTCTCACAAATACTGCACCACAGTGTGGCGTGGCTTCATTTTACTTATTCAATTAAGATTAGTTTGAAGTTTCTTTTAAATTTTCCTTTATTAAAAAGACACTTTTGCAGTAGTTTCCCACGAAAACCATTTATCCAGAAAAGATCACCTCAGCACCAACTCCGGGTTCAAACACAAATACACACACACATACACACACACAAAACTAAGGGAAAAAGACAAAGTGATTTATTGATTTTGGCTAAACCTTTAATTTTTTTGAAGCATGTATTCTTTCATCAAGTGGTCTCTTAGATCTTTTTCTTTTAGGAAATTGGAGTTCATAGACTCGCAGTGCTTTGAAGCTAGAGAGGGGCTTGTAAGTCATTCAAGCTAACACCTTTAATTTTGAGATGCCAAAACTGAGCAGGGCTGGAGTAGGGTGTGGTGAGTGGAATACCCTAGGTGCCAAATTGAAGGAGGCCCCCTAGTTGTCCATGGGGTGAGTGCCTTGAGTCGGTGCTTTGGGCATCCCACTTGGCTTACCTAGTTATGATCCTGAAACTGAAGCCCGTGAAGGTTAAATGCTTTGTGCAAGGTCACCTGTCTCCTTGATTCAGGGCTGTTTCTCTTACCCCAAGTTACCTACTGAAGTTTGAAAATGTTTAATTTAGAGGATTAGGTAGACTTGTTTCCAAGTAGTCTTCAAAATAAGAATACTTCTTTCGTTTGTGGTAGTGCTGTCTCCTTCTATCAACTTTTCATGAATTGTTAATTACCTTCCACAAGGAATCTGATGAACCGACTTTAGAGAACCTGCCTGAGTCTCAGCCTACTCCTTCCCTGGACCTCAGCAAACTTGACTCAATTGTAGAAGATGCCACATCTGACCTCGGATATCACGGTATGTGTTTGCATTGGTTTTCAGAAGGATGCTCACAGCTGCTGTACCGGTTGCTGTGGCTGACTTTGCAGTGGGCCTCTCTGGCCTCTGAGAGAAGCTCTGGATGTGTGTATGCAGCTCCCTGCTATCAGTTTACCAGAGCTGGGCAATGACCAGGATGAAAAGTAAAGAAGCCAAGGATTTTTCTGTCCTTTCTATCTTCTTTGCAATCATGAGGATGAGTTGGAAACTCACACCCGGTGAGGGACCTCTTCTGGGTGGGTTAAACAATGTTGCCATTAACCTAACTTTGGAATCATACAAACTGTGAATGCTGTGTTTCCCTGTTCTGTAAATGGTTCTCCCGATCATCATACATTTAAGTGAAGAAATGAAGCGAGACTTTGGGAAATCAGCTATGCCATGTGCAGTCATTACCAGAAAATAAAAGCGCTCAGAGCAGGAATACAAAGGCACGCCTGTAGGATGGCTGACTTTGCTGGAGGACTTCCTGATGCCTTTGCTACGTCAGTCTGCACAGCAAACTAGTACACTTCCACCAAACCTCTCTTTTCACTTGGAAAAAGATTTTCCAAATGGAGCAGATACATTCAAATGGAGTAGGTACATCATAACCTAATGGTTAAATGCATAAGTTTTAGAGTAAAAAAATTGGCCCTGTCAGAGAAGCCCCCTCACAACATAATCTCTCTAGGTCTCAGTTTTCTTATCTATGAAACAAGGATAATAGTGCCTTCTTTCAGGGTTGTTGTGAAGAGCAAATGAGATGTGGCATGTGGAGTGATCTTAGTTCAGTTCCCAGAATACAGTAAGTGCTAAAGAAGGGGAAGAAGTTATGACACTTTGAGCAGAAGAGGGTTATCAATATAGGTGCCTTCTCAGTCTTGTTCACCATTCTCCCCAGTGCCTACAGCAAAGTTCCAGGAGCATTCTAAGCACTCATTAAATATTTCTTGAATGAATTAATGAGTGGACAAATACATGAATGAATGTCAGTCTGGACCTCTGAGAAGGAGATGTCAAGATGGAACTAAAATTGCAAGCTTGCTTTTAGAGAAAAATGCCTGCATAAAAGAAAATAGGGTAGAGCTAGAAAAAAAAAACCAGGGGAACCGTTAAACCACTGATTAAAGTCTCATTCGAAGCAAAAAGAGAGATTTGGTGGAAGTGAACTAGATTGCTCTGCATTCAGAGGTAACAAAGGCATCAGGAAGTCCTCCAGCAAAGTCAGCCATCCTAGAGGCCTGCCTTTGTATTCCTACTGTGCTCCAGTAGTAGCTGTTATATGTAAGTTTTCAGTGCATAAAAGAAGTAGCACTCAAATACAAATTTCCTCAGCAAGGCAATTTGCTTCTATAGAAGGGTGCATCTCACAGATAGAACAATGGCAAGTGTACACCTGGACAAGGGAGGGGAATGGGCTCTTATTCCTGATGGAGGTAGCCCCAACTGCTGTGTTGTTCCCCTACTGGCTAGGGTTAGAGCATACAGTCTAGTCTAATTCCAGTTGGCTATTTTAAGGAGAGCAGGGGCACGAGCTGGAGTGGCGGGTTAGGTAGTTTGGTGGGAAGGATGGTTATGGGACAGGTCAAAGCAGGTAGCCAGGGGTGACCTAGGTCAAAGCAGATAACTGGGGCAGGTGATCAGGGCAGGTGACTAGGATGAGTCAGGATAGAGCAGGGGACCAGGGCAACAGATGTAAACTTAGGGCTGGTGGAAAAGTTGTTAACTGAAACTACAAGGAAATTAAACTTTAAAATGGAGGACAAAGAACCGAACATCCTGACATACTGATTCTTTGAAGAGAAACTCGGAGTTCACTATATCTAACACAGCCCCTGGGGAAGCATCGTAGCCTCTGAGAGAATGCAGAGGTGGATTTCAGAGCACAACAGCTGGGATCCTTGGCCAGTTGCACTCTGTGTTGTTGCAGGTCTGCAAGTGCATCCGCAGCAGTTTAGCTCTCTTCTCAAATTGAGAATAAAGGTAGTGAACCTTGGATTATCTTGTCATCTCATCCCAGATTTTCACTTGAAGTCTTCTTGATAGAGCTGTTAGAACTTGTGCTGCCTTTTTCAGCTGTTTGGAGACAGGCACCTGAAGCTCTTTAGATTGGCAGTAGCCAGCTGTTAAAATGGTGCTATGGAGGCCATCTTGTAACAGACATCCTTGACAAACATGTATGTGCATCAGATGGATTTCTATCTTAGGCCTTTTATGGTATTTCTTTAATATTTTATTTGTTAGTTTCCAAAAGTGAAATTCGGAAGTATAGAAATATCCCATGGACTTCTATATCTAAGAATAGAAATGTCAGAGACGTTAGAACCAGAGCAACTCCATTGCCAGGAGGTTAAGGCATTCTTAGGCACAGGATGAGACAGGAGGTCAGCACAAGATAAAGGTCACAAAGACCTTACTGATGAAGAGGTTGTAGTAAAGAAGCCAACCAAAGCCCACCAAACCCTAGATGGCAATGAAAGTGACCTCTGATCATCCTCATTGCTCATTGTATGTATATTATAATGCATTAGTATGCTAAAAGTGGGAGGAATCCTTATTTCCAGGGGTTTCCAACCCCTTTCCTGAAAAACCGATGAATAATCCACCTGCTGTTTAGCATATAATTAAGAAACATCTATTCAGCAGCCCCTGCCACTGTTGTGCCCATGGAGTATCATTCTTTTGTTTCTTTACTTTCTTAACAAACTTGCTTTCACTTTTCTCTAGGAACTTGACCAAATTATTTATCACGCGAGGTCCAAGAACCCTCTCTTGAGGGTTGGACCCCTTTCCAGTGACAGAAAGCTGAGAAAGTTAGGCAGTATGTAGTTCCCCATACCTGTGGCTGTGCTCTGCTGGAGGACAGAGCCATCATTATTTATGCATAGGAAGCCCCAGGGCAGGATATTGAATGGGTGGTCTAGGACAAAAAGTCTGAGCTTCCTCCTGGTTTCAAATAGGAAAATTACTTAATAATACTGCATTTCATAGATGAGAAGCCAAAGAAATTAAGTGATTTGCTTAAGGACTGCAGAGTTCCTGCTTTCTAACTAGTACACCACCCTTTCCACTTCCCCCAAAGTGTGTGTTTTCATTGGTGGTGGGTAGAAGCAATGGACTTGTAAGAAGCAGAAAAACACGTCAAAGGAATTGGAATTTATTTATTTATTTATTTTTAAAGTTGGAGTCTCACACTGTTTCCTGGGCTGGAGTGCGGTGGCACGATCTCCACTCACCGCCACCTCTGCCTCCTAGGTTCAAGTGATTCTCCTACCTCAGCCTCCTGAGTAGCTGGGATTACAGGCCCCCACCACCACGCCCAGCTAATTTTCTGTATTTTTAGTAGATACGTGGTTTCACTATGTTGGCCACGCTGGTTTTGAAGGCCTGACCTTGTGATCCACCCACCTCAGTCTCCCAAAGTGCTGGGATTACAAGCGTGAGCTACCGTGGTACCTGGCCAGGAAGTGGACTTTCAAAAGGCAGAATCTTTGTCGTGTGTCTCTATGCTAATTTCTGTGAACTGTGGTGGCCAAATTACTCCCTAGCTAGTCTTGACCACGGCTACTATGGGAAACTCAAGCTATGTCCTTCTTACCTCTCATTTTCTTTTGTCATGAAGGTTTCAGTATGGTAGACAGTGTGTTGATTCACCAGCTGAACTGGAAATGGCCAAATCTACTTCATTGACCACCTTGTTCATGTTGTAAGTGTAAACACTACTTAGGACTCTATGATAAACTATCAGATTAGAAAAAAATACATAAAAGTTTTAGATAAATCAGATGCCTTGTAAAATACTTTAAACATTTCCCTTATATTTTTCCTATCTGTAAATTCATACTTTCTAAGTGCTATTCTTTCTTAATATTAAGTTCAAAAAATAAATTTAGAACTGTGAAAATACAACCTTGTTAGGCATTGTGTTGATTCTGTGTCTTCGCTATTGTAAATAGTATTATAAGGAAACTAAATTAAAAGTAAAAACAGAAGAAAAAAGAATGCAACCTTTGGGTTTGACAAAGCTTTAGAATGGTGGGCAACTACCAGGTAATTAGTGATCGCAGAGATTAATGAAGTGAAATTTGGAAACATGAGACTTAATTTGTTGATGGACTCTGAAGTGATTATTTTCCCCAATGCTTTTTGCCTTTTAAAGATTAGATTGCAAACTTTCAGCACCCAAAGGAAGTTTTTGTTTATTTTTTATCTAGCATGTATATATAAAATAAAATTACAGTCATTCTTTCAAAGCTCCTACACCAAATGTTTAATAAGTCTTTGATGTTGAATTGGAAAGTTCCCTGTGGGTTCTGAGGAGTTAGTTGCAGAGAAAAAGACAGGATAAGACTTATTATTTACATTTGTTATGCATGAGTTGACTACTGCTGATTTAATCTAGAGAAAGTCATGGGTAACCATTATAACCAAATGAGAAAGTACACTGGAATGTCAAAGAAATTATCCCTATTTAACTCCTTATATGTGATGCTGATGCTTTCTTGCACATTAAATTTTGCCGGGAACTTCTTTGTACTCTAACCTTTTGTGTGTATGTGTACTTATTTTATTTTATTTAGTAACTCACAGCTGAGTTTCAGAGCAGTGTTTTTTGCAAAGCTGGAATTGCCTGAGACTCTTGGGCCTGGGTGTACCAGGAGCATGACTCCTTACCCCACCATTCAGATGTGGAGACTGCAGTGAAGTAGGCCTTGGCTGCCTACCCACATCCTGACCAGCTGTCACCTCTTCACTTCCTGTTCAGCCACTCTTTAAGCAAGCACTGAGCCCAGTGCTCAGAGATAGATCTGACCTCTAGGTAGTTTTATGCTTTGCTTGCCTGTAGGAACTCCACATGCCCTTTGCATTTCTGGGCTGCTTTATGATTTACAATATCACTTCTTCTTTTTAAATGTTCAAGTGGAAATAAAGTGATTTGAACTTTGTTAATTAAACATCATATGTATTTATCGTTTTGATTTTAAAAAAGAAAACCT